CAAACCATAGCATCAGATTATCTAGGACTATTACCAGTAATTTATTCTTTATATAAAAGCTCTCATTGTATTGATTTTTGCTTCCATGAAAATCCACATATTGCTCATGTCAGTGGTGTCTCCAAGTATGGTCCCTAAACCAGCAGCCTCAGCATCACTTGGGAACTTCTTATAAATAAATACACATTCTTAGACCCCACCTTAGATCTATTGAATCTATTGTATTTTAATTATAAGCTCTCCAGGTGAATCTGATGTATACTAAAGTTTTAGATCCATTGATTTATTTTATTAAGTTCACTAAACTGGGAATGACAGTTGAGCTTTTAATGCATTCTTTTTTTCATATCAGAGATTTCAAGTTTTTCTGCATAAAATAGGTTTGAAAATGTTCTGACCTTAGTAAATAGTAAGTGAGTTTTTTTTCTTTATGACCCCACACATGCTCTTTCATTTCATGCCCATGGTCATTCTCCCAGGTGGGTCCTAATATCTTGCATGTGAGTTATCACAAAGGCCTTCTCACTAGCCTTCCTTCATTAACTAGTCTTTTAGTTGTTCTCTATGTACTAATACATTTTCTTGAATATAGAATAAATTTTTTTACTATTTTTTTCTTTTTGAAATAAAGATACATTTTATTGAAAGTAATTGAAAAGTAAATTTTATGTAGTAATTTTTCTTATTTCCCCAAAATATTATTTTTATGCCAAAGATCTATTTTAGGATAGAGGAAATCAGATTATTTTCCTACACTAATTTATTTCACTCTTTCCCTGCCCTCCTACAGCCCTGTTTTTCTCACCCTGCAGGCATTTTAATGCGAAAAATGTACATTAATCAATCTGGCTAATTTTAGAGAAGACCTCAGTTATAAAATGATTCATTGCATAAAGGTGACCTAAAAGCAGTCACATGCTCAAAGCTAATAGTCTTTTCATTAAAGAAAAGTTTGCAGCTGCTTCCTTCCTGCTTCATTTGGAGTTTTGCTTATGCACAGCAGATTCTCACCAGCGTCTCGCCAAGCCCATTTATGTAGTTCATGAATCAACTGCTCATGGAACACAACACCGCACATGGAAGAGAATTCACACAGCGTGAACCCTCTCCGTGCACCACAGCTCTTTCCCCCTTCTACTTCTCTGTCCTTTAAAATGTATTATTTTTTTCTTACTTTGCTGCTTAGAAGAACACAGGTTTTTTTCCTGTAAGCCAAGTTTTTTATGATCGTTCAAAAGCCAGATGCAGCACACAGCAGCGAAGTCATCATAATGCAGTTTTCAGGATTCTTTGGGAGGTCTCAATTGAGTCAGGGCACTCCAGAGCATCCATGCTAATTGCTGATGATCTTTCTCTTTTCTTCTCAACTTTAGCTTTTCCCTTGGTTCTAGAGACCTTCTTTGAGGGATGGAGGTTCTCATTAATTGGCCTGAACTGCCACAATCATGAGATAGCAATGAAGTGAACAGACCTCCCTGTGTGTCTACATAATGGTAGAGTGCAAGCAACGCTTCTACATCAAGTTCACAGAAACTTAATTTTTGGTTCCCAGCCCTAGCTGAACCATCAATTAAATCTGACCCTCTGATGGTATGGTATGACCACCTCTATTTCAGATCTCCCTGGGTAATTGCTAACGAGGAGTCAGGGCTGAGAACCACGGATGAGCTCCCAGAACACAGGCTATCCCACTTGTGTAGGAGATTGGCGAACAGGCTTACAATTGCATTTTTGTAACTGAAAAAGACCTAACAAGCTAATAATAGACCTAACTCTTACTGCCTTATGACTCTCTCATTTAAATTCTGTTCACAAGTGAGTTTTATATATGTCACCTGAAAAGCTGAAATAATAAAATTTAGCTGACTGTTTAGAAAACAAAGAAAGAATATAGTCAAATAGGGAACAATGTCATTATGTCAGGAATTGGTAAAGAAAGCATCCTCACTGTGGACGTCAAGGGCTGTAGTGAAAAAAGGGCATCACTCTCATTGGTTCCTGAAGGATATGGTATAACTAATTCACAGTATAAATGAATTCATTGTAGGCTAAAGTGCCTTATAATGAAATTTTACTACATTTCTCATTGGGAATACACCCTTGACATCTTTTATGCCTAAATTTAGACCACTGAAAGGATTCATTAAAAACCAATTAAATTAGAATGTAAAAAAATATACACATCATAAAACATAATTTTTCAAGCTGTGTTTTTGCAATTATAAAACTATCACAGGATATTGTAGTTAATATGGCTGATACATTAATTTTGTCTCAGGTCTATTCCTTTTAATTGTCATTTACAATATTAAAATAGCAGCAAGAATTAGAAGATACTAACTTAATGAACCATAATAATTTTTAAAAGTAATCATTGCAAACAAAAGCAATTCCAAGCCAGGCTCACAACAATTTATTTCTTATTTTTATTCAAAAATTTTTAAAAATTGAAATTCAATTGATATAATTATAAGAAAAGAAAATAGACATGACAACATGGAATTCACATGTAAACAAGGAGGTTTTTATATATGAATATCATTTTTTAGCTCCTTTAATATTTCCCATGACATTTAGCATAGTATTGGTAATTGAGATGAACTCAATAAAATAATTTTCTACTGGATGCAAGATTCTAGCATCATAAAGTATTCATGAGGTAATAGAGAAGGTAAACTCTAGTTTGGTATCTATTTATCTCAGTTTCATGACCATTAAGTGTACCTAAAGATATAAGAAAGAGGCTCAGTGTGGTGCCTCACACCTGTCATCAGAGGCTGATATGGGTGGATCACTTGAACTTATGAGTTCAAGACCAGCCTGAGCAAGAATGAGACCTCATCTCTAAAAATAGCTGGGTATTGTGGTGGGTGCCTTTAGTCCCAGCTACTTGGGAGGCTGACACAAGAGGATCGCTTGAGCCCAGGATTCTGAGGTTGCTGTGAGCTGTGACAACACAGCACTCTATGGGGGCAAGTAAGTGGGACTCTATTTCAAAAATAAATAAAGAAAGAAAGAAATATATGAAAGAATTTAAAACTTAGAATAAACTCTTTAGAAAAAGAAAGAAATATATGAAAGAATTTAAAACTTAGAATAAACTAGAATAAACTTAGAATAAGCAGTTTATTAAGCAAACTTTATTCACAAACACTGGGCTAGGTACTTTGAGAAAGGTCTCCTGTTCTTAATACATTGACTGACATTAATAGACACTCTAGAAGTATTGTTGATGAATTAAAGAATAAATATAAAACATGACTTCTATCCTTTAGGAACCAACATTCTAGTTGGGTTAGGGAAAGAAAAACATAGATAACTGTGAAATAAGAAAGACTATAGGAAATTCTTTAACAGGGGTGCCAACTAGATTGGAAGAAGTTAATATAATTACTGCATCAGTGTGAAAGTATTATTCCAACAGAAAGAGAATCTGGAAAACTCTGTGAGTTAGGTAATATTTGAACTAGGGCTATTAAAAGTAGACATTGGGAAGGGGGAAAAGGACCTTAGAAGGGGAGGGAAATAGAATGACTCTGTAGGACATGATAATAAGACTAACGTGGGGTACAAATTGTGAAGGGCTGTGAATGAGAGGCTACAGTTATTTTCTATATAGTGTGGTGCTCTCAAGGTCCTTGGGAAGGATGTGGCATAGGTCTATTTTAGGAGAATTATTTCAAAGGCAGTGTTCAGAGCAACTTGGAAAAGGCAGAGGCTGGAAGTGAGAGTTTGGGAGATTGTATACTCATAACAGATGAGGAGGATGTGAGCCAAGGACTAAATGAATGAACTCAATTTGGAAATTATCTTAGATGGCAAAACAGTAGATTTGAAGACTGGTTGTAGGTAAGGGATGAGGGAAAGTGAGAAATTTGCATTTCATAACAATTAATGATATGTCTACTTTGTAAAGACTACATTTCTGGAATATGTAACAGCAGAATGATACTGGAGTGTTCCAGTGCAAATTTTGAGGAGGAATATTTTCCAAATAGCTATATTGCTAAATTTGCTTTGAAAAAGAAAGGCAAGATAAAGAAGTAAGTGTGAAAGAGTTGGGAGAAGAAGGTGAGTTGAAAGTCCAGAACCACAGGTAGCTATGAAAGTGGCAAGAGCTAAGGTGAAAGTATCACAAGGTGAGCAGTGTCTTGGAGGTGTGCTTATCACAGGAAAGCAGTGAGCAGAGGGTAGAATGAATGAACATGAGTAAGCATCAACTCAGTGAGTTGCCCTGTTACAAGTAGGTAGACAACTCAAAGAGTAAAGTAAAGTAACAAAGGTAGTCACCATGAGGAATTGGCCTAAATGGGTACCTTTGCTTCAGGATATTGGGGAGGATCAAAACTGAGTGTGAGGACATATGTGACTTGGTAATGAGTTGTCAACTTGTTACTCTATTTTTAACATAAAATATCAGCAGAAACATTGTGAAGAATAAATAAATATTAGGTGCTATATTTTTTTCTTTCCAAGAGATGAGATAATAATAATAAAAATTATGATTTATCTGATTTACCACACTCCATCAGCTTGCTGTCATTGATTTGTTAGTTGTATTTCACCATTAGAAACCCATCAACTTCCAGCCTTTCCAGCAGGCTGCAATGTCAAGTTTTGGGCTTAGAGGGCAGACTCCAGCTAGAATGAAAGGAGTACTACAGACAAGGAAACACAAAAGGTCCTCATCTGGAAGGCTAGGCCCCTTGGGGCTCGCTAATACTTAGATGGAATCTTAAGTTTTAAATCACATAGCGATGCCTTTAAAACAGCAACAGTGACGGTTCATAACCATTCAGAATTCAATGGATTCAGTCGATTTTTAATAGTTTAAGAAATTTCCTATCTAGCAATTAATTCGTGTCAAGAACTTACCTATTTTCATAAATGATTGGATGAGACAGAAACATGTCACCTTTGCTTCTGCCAAGGTGAAGCATCTCTTTGAAAGAAAGGGAAAGCTACTAACACCATCTGGGATCAGATGTGATCATGCTTACCGGAATAATCCTGCGGACAGATACAAGTGTATCTTCCTATTTCGTTGAGACACGTAGCCTTGTTCTTGCAGGGATCTGAAACACATTCATCCACCTCCAAGTCACAGTGCCTGCCTTGATATCCGGGGACACAGAAGCAGGAATAACTATTGACTCCATCCTGGCACAAGGCCCCATTGTGGCAAGGGCCAGACGCACACTCATCCAGGTCTATTTCACAGAATCTTCCAGCATATCCCACAGGGCAGATGCAGACAGGGTGGACGGGGTCCTGACGGCAAATACCACCATGTTGGCAGAAACTCATGCCACAGGGACCCACGGTAGTCTCACAGGCTTTCCCACTATACCCCAGAGGACATTTGCACAAAAAGCTCCTTGCTCCTGTGTTTACGCAGGTGGCGATCCCTTGACAGGGACTGGAGAGACAAGGGTCTTCCACGTCGTCACAGTCGTTGTCAGAATTATTGGCTGTGTCTGAACAACGGCAGTTATTATCTTTTGAAAAACTCTTGCACGAGGAATTGTTTTGGCAAGAATTTGAGAGGCACCTGGTGTAGTTTTTATTGCAAAAGGAATCTACAAAGAAATAAAAAATATCAAGATTAAATTTACAAATCGACGTTAATGTTAAAGAACTTTCTTTCTGACCCTTGTGCCACCTCAAAAAAGCTCCTTAGTGAAATACATCATTGGTCACATTCTAATGAGTTTTAATTCTTCATTTGTCAAAACTTTTCATATGGTTATGAATAAGAAGCAAAGTGATTGGTTTGAGACACTTTCTTCTCCTTCATCTTGCCTTTCTCAGGTGTAAGTGGAATTGAGCAATGGGGTGAACTGAAGCAGCTGTTAAACTTTCTTAGATACACAGAATTTTGAAATTCTTAGTCTCTCATGGAAGATTTTGGTGAATACTAGGTGATGAGTCACAAAACTATTTCTGAATAAATTGTGTAACTGCAACTAAAAAATTAAAAAAACATAAAATTATTTAACATTTTTTATTTCTTATCCTCACAGCAACCCAATATAATTGTGTACAGTTTGCAGATGACAGATTAAGTCCCTGCAAGGAAATTGATGTGTAAAATTATGAACTTTCATCTTCCTGAAAATGTCTCTATTCTGGGAACACATTTTCGAAATTCTAACTAGAATAACAACCTCCAGGAAAGCAAAAATTTTGTAATTTCCTCCTGCCAAATTCTTTGGCTACTTGCATGTGTATAAATTTTTCCTGCATATGCATGCATTATGGCGTGACATTTCTATTTTCTTAATCTTGTATATCGAGAAGCTTTATGATTTGGCAACTCAATTGTATCAGTCCACAAAACACTGCCTTTTCATGTGGACTAATCTAGTACATTATTCTCTTATTTTCACTTGCTTTCTCACACTGTTGCTCAAAAACACTAAAGCAAATAAAAGTATCAGCCTGTAATTGTAAAGGGTTACAAAACAAAATGTTTGCTTTTAAGTCAAGAGACCCAAGTAAGCCCTTCATAGTAGCCTGGGCAAACTCCTTAAAGTAAAACACTCTCTCTATATCCCTCCTCTCCTCTTCTCTTTGCTTCTCTTTTTCTCCCTCTTCCAATATGTATGTCCTATATGTATAAGGTGACCAGACGTCCCGCTTTTGGCCAGACAGTCCCAATTTTTAACAATTTGTCCCATGTCCCATAGTATTTTTAAAAAGTCCCAATTTTTGGAAAGAATGCATGACAAGCTAGGGAACATTGGGAGAATAGGAAGGGAATATACAGTTTTCGGCTGATGAAAAGGTTAAGGTAACTCCATTTGGGAATGAAGAGGTTAATGTAACTTCATTTGGAAATGAAAAGGCTAATGTAAACTCCCTACTCCCCTCCTGGGCAAAGTATCAGAAGGAGACTGGCTCCCTCCCTTGCTTCTAGGCAAGGACAATTAGCCCAGAAGAAGCCAAACTGTCTGGAACAAACAAGTAGCCCCCTCCTCCCCCCAGAGTAAGGTGACCAGACTTCTCGCTTTTGGTGGAACAGTCCAGATTTTTAACAATTTGTCCTGTGCCCTGCGGTGTTTTAAAAAAGCCCCAATTTTTGGATAGAATGCATGACAAGCTAAGGAACAGGGGAGAACAGGAAGGGAATATACAGTTTTCGGCTGCCATGTGGCTATTTCGCCAGGATATGAGTTTTATATTATTTTTATTACTTTTATAATTTTAAATTTTAATAATAACAAATAATTGTTGAGAACTGATTATCAAGAATTGCTTATCAAAGTTTGCATTGTTGTCAGGCCCCGCCCCCCAACCCCCCCCAGTCGTGTACCGCTTTACCAATGTTAAAATCTGGTCACCTTATATATGTACCATATTTAACATATATGTAGATGATCCTGAACTAACGAATACAATGAGGTTGGCTCATTGCTCTGATTATTGCTGGACAAAATATTGAAAGAAAAGAATCAGCTCAGAGATTTGAATTTTCCACTTAAGCACTAAAAGAAAGACATGAAAACTTCTATGTGTCCCCTGATCTCTTGCAGCTGCAGGTCTAAAATTGTCTAAAATCAAATACTGAATTGCATCCTATAATTGTCCAAATTACAAGCAGGTTGAATTCATGGTCTACTAAGAAGTTTACTGTTCAAGTAATGGCATTGGCTGAGAACAAACTGGGTCCTATTGGTTTAAATGGAATATATGGGAAGTCTATTTTTGAAGCTGAGGAAGGACATGGAGCCCTAAATTCTGATGAGTCTTCTTTGGTAGTGATAGTATCCCTGTTATCCCCATATGAAAAGATTAACTCTGCATTGCCTGAAGAAATTAATGGTTTCTTCTAGAGCAGTTGTTAGGCTATATTTTGCTGATTCTTTCAGACCTACTACCACCTATTGGTAGTTTCAAGTTACAGCAAGGCCCTAAAGATGAGGCACAATTCATGGGAAGGTATGCTGCACTTCAAAAAATTACTTGAGTTTCTAAATTTATACAGACAGTAACTGGGAAAGCATGGGCGGGAATGAATATTGACAGTGTGGGATAATGGTGAAAGGAACATAAAGTTGAATAAGGCTGAATTTATTGATATGGGCTCCCTAAGCAAAGATTCTGTGCTTAATATTACATCACAGGGTGTTAGGAAGGGCTATAACTGATTGGCTGACTAAAATATGGACCAAAAGATGACAGGTAAGTGGCTTTGAAATACTGGATCTGCTTTTAGTTTAATGTAGAGGAAAGGATTCAAAAGTGTGATAACCAAGCCCCCAGCTCTTGGCCCCCTCCCCAAGACCAGTGGGGAACAAGCCCTCTACCCTTGAAAAGGAAACCTCTCTTAAGTCTTTTAGCCTCAGCCCTCACAAAGGTGAAGAAGTTAAAGCGGGGTGGGAGAGGGGAGGTGAGGAGGGTGGATAGGGGGAGGGAGGGTGATGGGTGCGGTCATCTCTATGGTTTATCTTACAAGGGTACAAGTGAATCTTTCTAAATGCAGAGTATGAAGGTCTTAACTCAATAACTAAGAAAATGACATGAAGGTTATGTTAACCAGTTTGATGAGAATATTTCAAAATGTATATGAAAATAGCACACTGTACCCCATGATTGCATTAATGTACACAGTTATGCTATAAGAAATAATAAAGGAAATTTGAATGGGAAAAAAAACAAAGAGTTTTTCAATGAGGGGAATGAATGAATAGTAGTAGAGCCATATAATGAAATATTACTCTGTAATAAAAAGGAACAAACTATTCTGACAAAAAAAAAAAAAAGTGAAGAAGTTAGATTCTGGGAAGAAACTTGAAGGAGAAAGGGAGGGGTGGATTCCAAATAAAGCCCCGGGTGGGTCCCAAGTTGTTCTTGGAAACTTACCCAATTTGTACCCCTAAACTATGTAACTTTTATCTTATGATTTGTGAGCTAATGTATTTTAAGTTAAGCATGTACTTCCACCCTAAATTGTGTAACTTTTTATGATATACCCTATCTTATGATTATGAAGTAATGCACTTGTGATGTATCTTGTGATTATGAGCCAATGTGTATCTCTACCTTGCAACCCCGCCTTAATTGTTATGATTAGCTTCTGTATTACACTAGCTTGCTGACCAGCCATGACTATGCAGAATAATGGTATAAAAAGGCTTCTCCCCCACTATTCAAGGCTGCTTGTTGGCCCACAACAGCCCTCTATAGGGGCACCTACAGGTGTATCAAATTATCAATAAATTTCTATTACTTAACTACATCTGAAGTGGGGTCCATCCTTCTCTCATATTTGCCATCTTATTTCAAAAAGAAATAAGAGAGTTGGGGTAGATTTTTCATTTACGACTTAACACTGACTATGTCCAGAAGACACATTACCATGAGAAATAATTTTGTAAGAAAAGGCTTGCCATCCTTGAAGAGCTTTGTGATCACTCATCTCTGTAGGCCAGAAGTTACAGTGTGAAATGTAGCCACTGATTTGGGAAACCTAAATGCAATAGAAGTCATTGGATCCAGCAGTGGCAGGGGCCAAGTGGTGGCATTAAATCACAGTGGCAGGGGTGGGGCTTATGCATGGGCTCAGCTACATGGACTTCAACCCTCCAAGGCTTACCTGACTATCCCTGCACTCCCCATCTACTGGCAGCGCAGACCCACTGAGTCCCTAAAATGGCATCCTTCCTTGGGGTGATCAACCAGCTATGCGGTGGCAGGTTGATTACTATAGGACTGATTCCACTGTGAAAAGGGTAGTATTTTCCTCTTAATGGAATAGACACTGTGGATATGGATTTGCCTGCCCTGCACACAAAGCTTTTGCCAAAACTAGCACCTATGGTTTTACCTAATGTCTTATGTACTGTCATGGTAGTCCACACAGCATTGCTTCTAACCAAGGGACTCACTTGGCCACAAAAGAAGTGGGGTAATGGGTCCATGTTATGGAATTAACTAGTTTTACCATGTTCCCAGTCATCCTGAAGCAACCAGTTTGATAGAAACATGAAATGGCTTTTTGAAGACTCAACTGCAGCTACATGCTAATACCTTGTAGGGAGCAACAGGATTCTACAGAAAGCTATATGTGCTCTGAATCAACTTTTAGTCTATGGGGTTGTTTCTTGGGTAACCAAGATTCCTAGGAGTCAATCAATTAGGACCAGCAGCAAATGACTATCACTCACTACTGCCCATACTCACCCAATTTTTTTTCCTGTTTTTATGACCTCATGCTCTTCTGGACTACAGGTTTTAGTTCTAAAGGAAGATATTCTTCTATCCAGAAACAACAATGGTTGCATTGAATTAGAAAGTAAGATTGCAACCTGACCACCTTGGACTCCTCATGCCTCCAAATTGACAAGGAAGGGAGTTATTGGGTTGCTGGGATTATTGATTCTGACCACCCAGGGAAATTGGGCTATTACTCTCCACAATGGGATAAGAAAGGTTGTAACACAAGAGACCTTTAAGAATGTCTCAATATTATCATGCCATGTCTTTGATCCCAATGGAAAACTACAACAACCCAATACAAGCTGGACTACTAATGGCCAAGACCCTTTAGGAATGAAGGTTTGAGTAACTTCATCAA